GGGAGCATTTGAGAAGCGCTGTTTTCACACTTCCCACTTCAGCTTCCCACTAGCCGTTCCCTCACGGGCTGCGCAATCTCATATATCGCGGTCGTACTCACATACAGCCCGAGATCGTACTCCGCACGCAGCAGGACCTGCGTCGCCACATCCGCTTGCATTCCCGCCCAACAAAGCCCATTGTGTACAAGGAGCTTCGTGAGCTCATGCCCGGCCCCGATCTGCCCCAATTCACAGAGGAACTTGAGAAGGACGGCAGCATCATGATTCTTCGATCGCTCACTGGCCGTCTCAAGGATGCGCCCTTGCCTCCACTTGGGCGTGAGAATGCGTGGGGCGAGAAGCTAAACGCGGGTGGGCCAGAACGGTGGAAGACTGTGTTCTTTGACACGATACGAGAGAACGGACGTTCAACGGCGCGCGTCGAGGATGGTGAGCCTTCAACCTCAGCGGGACTGACAGCAGAAATCATCCATGCGTGGGCCGATGTGAAGATCTCCGAGACGGACAACGTAGCCAAGCTATTGGAAGACCGTGAGTTGGAATGTTGGACGTTGGCCCAGTGCTGATCAATCGTTATCTTATCACCGTCGCTGCACCGTCTTCCATCCTGTCGAAAATACCTGCATGTCTTTCCACCCTTCTACGGTCTCCTCTGCACCCCTCATTACCTACAACAGAGGATCTCAAGGCCAGCTCGGCGGCACAGGGTCCGATCAAGGAGAAGAAGACGGAGGCACCCAAGAAGAAGAAGAAGGGACGCCGCAGCCTCAAAATCACCAACACACATATGAAAGAGCTTGTGAGCGACTGTTGCATTTATGCACTCGCAGAAGCAGCTAATCACAGGGTATCGACTTTACGAAGGACTACGAGGCGCCATCGTAGACGCGTTGCTGTGCCGCCACAACGATCCTCAATCCGCTGGAACGATATTCGTGTCATTGTTTATCTCGGTGGTTTGTTTGGACAACGCCGCTGTGGCGTGTTGTCACCAATTACCTTTGTTATTGCGTTACGGTCCTACGGTGTAACCGCCATCCCACTTTCCGTGCATCTCCGCTTTGAGAGTCAGCCACGTTGGTCGATCCTGTATGATACTTGTATCCAGTCGTTGCGGCCGTAGTTGGAGGAGTGAGCCTTGCATGCATCTATCAAATGCATTGGATAGAGGGTGCTGCGAGTTGGGCGATGACGCAGGCATGCATGATGTGGAGGGGTGGCAGACGGCTAAGGGCGAAGGGGGGAATTGAGTGGCAGGAGTGGAACGAGTGGCGAGGCGAGTGGCAGCATGGCAGCATGGCAGAGGGAGGTGGGCCGAGTTTAAGCGAGAGAGTGGCGTGGAAGCCTTAGCAAAAGTCGAAATCCACGTCAAAGATCAAAGGATTGATAAAGGATTAGGATCCGTTTGTTGATGAGTGGTGCACCGTGTAGGGTGGGAGGGAAGCCGGCCGCCTGGGGGGCCTGGGGGGCCTGGGGGGCCTGGGTGAGTTGGGTGAGTTGGGTGAGGCCTGGGGGTGAGGCTTGTTGACTTGATACGGAACGGCTCATTCTCCTCTGCGCAAAGGTTGTCGCTCGCTGTTGGTCAGCTCCAGCTCCAGCCGACATCTCCGTCTTGTCACAACATCATCATCGACAACATCCTCTTCCACGCTGCACTCGATCCATTCTCTTCAACACCTCCATGACACCGCTCCATTAGACTCCTCCTACACACTCTTTCTGCCCTCCTAAACATCCACTGTTGGCCACATATTCAACAACATCATACCACACTTCCCCATCGACCCTTTTGCCCAGCCACCAAACCCGACCTCACGCCGCCTTTCTTTTGCAGTAAAAAAACACCTGTGTACATCCACTCTATCATCTCTAGCTACACCGAGAGCAAGACGGGTGTTGACCAGACTTTCTCCACCCCGCCATGCTCGACGAAGCACCTATCACCCCTGCCCGGCGGCCACGGGGTGGTCGCCCTATGGCAGACCTGCGAGCCAACAGTCGAGTAAGTTCGCTTTCATCTTCCTCTTCTTCTACATGTACGCCCTAACTGCCACTCGGCGCTGCGGTGCTGTGCAGTGGGCATCGTTTGTTGTTGCTGGCCGAGGGAAGCCATCGGCGGACGTGGGTCACACCCCTGCCTGTTGTTGTTTTCGCCCAATGGGGATCCCATCCACCCAGCGATCCAGCGAACCCGGCACCAACAAATCCCCCATCGTCATCCTTCACATGCACATCCATTCACTTGCATTGCTCCTCGCATCGTCGCCGCCCCCCGTCCGCACGACGCGCAGCGCTCACGCATCACAGACCGTTGCTCCGCGGACACCCGGAGATGACATTGCAGCATCGGCATCTGGGCCGTCGACCCAGGCAAGTTCCAGACCCTTTATTTGGCAACACATTACGCCGTAGGCTCACACCAGGAACCCTCATCGGCCTCCCGCTCTTGCTCATCAACGACACGACATTATCCACTGCCACTCCCACTGCCTCTCCCACTGCCGGCCACCCCCACCACTCCATCTTCAACCTGCCTATTACAGGTGACCCGCCATCCATCACCACGCAAAAACGGTAGGGTGCTACCGACTCCCGACTCTCTCTCCCCATCAACAATAAAGCATTCGCCCCGCCTACCACCCAATTTTGAGCCGAACCACCAGTTTCCACCGGCCCTTCCATCGCGTTACAGCTACCCTCCCCATTCACCGTACCGTCCTGGTCAGTACCAGCAGTCAGAGTGCGCGCCGTCCGAACGCACTCGTATCGGAAGAGCTGGCACCAAACTGTTTCAGGAAGACGACGACGGCAATGTGCCGACCAGTGACGAGATCGTCAGCTCGTCTCCTCTGCAGCCCGCCTTTGAACCAAAAATGGTGCTACGCAATGGGGCAAGCGTTGATCTCATCTCATGGTGCGTATCTTATCTTTCGTCTCGCATTCCTGACATACAGGCTTCGCACCCACTTCCATCACCAGCCTCCGCCTCACACCCCGGTGACATCGGTCATGAATCTGAACCACGTCCAGCGCCTGCTGCAAGAACGCTTCCCTCGTGTTCCAGACCAGGCTGAGCTGAAGCGCGCCGTCCTTGCCGCATTCCCCCACTCGCAGTGGGAGGAGCCATTGCACGATTCGGCTCCGGAGCCGCCGATCATGAGGGGTTTGGCGTGGAACGGCAAGGATGTGGCTGAGGACGACGATGACACGCCTGGCCGCACTCGACCGGTACACCGACGCCCCAGACTGGAGACCAACGGTGTCAGCACAAGCCGTAGCCCCACAAACTCGCCTCTCCTTTCGCCGGATTCAAGCAGCACTCGTCGCGCTATGCCTGACACACCAGCCCGCAGTGTTCTAGATGAATTTGCCGAGATTGTCACTCGCACCCCCGGGGTCAAGGAGCGGAGCCTTGAGCCTATCGCTCTTCCCCTTCCTACTGCTGCGCCGACCGTACCGAAAACCCAAGCCCGGTACTGGAAGAAGAGGCCCGCCTCGCAGTCGCCTGAGCAGGGTCGGACCAGGCGCGAGTCGACGCCGGACGCACTGCAAGAGCTTCTCGAGGCTGCCGAAGCGATCGAGGGTAGTCCATTGACTACCTCCAAGACGGAACGTGGGGGACACAAACGGCGGCGCACCATTGCGGGCGGGTCTACCACACAAGACTTTGCCGCTGGCCTCTCGTTTGCTGCGAATAGAGGGCGTAGCGTGCGTGGCACAGCTTCACCTCAGATCGCCGGCCTCTCTCTACTCAACCCGAAAGATCAGGACGATGAAGAGCCTATATCTCCGCTTGCGAGCGAGGAAAGCCACGCGTCGCGGCTCATAGCCATCGGCCAGGGGCGGTGGGGCGCGCGCGGCGGATCATCGAGCACTTCGCAGCTGTCGCAGGTTAGCGAGGTAGCAGCGCCTGCCGGGCCATCCAAGGGCGCCGGGCGTAAGGTCAACGAGTTACCCACATCTACGCAAGGACAATTCCCCGGTTACGACTGCAAGCCGCCGTATCCGTACCACGAAATGATCCGGCACGCGATCGAGCATGCGCCAGACCGCAAGCTGCAGCTCGCGCAAATCTACAGCAGTATCGCCGAGCGCTTCCCGTTCTTCAAGACGCTGGATGAGAAGAAGACGGCCGGGTGGCAGAACAGTATCAGACACAACTTGAGTCTCAAGTGAGTTGCCTCGCCAGTCTCGGGCGCTGACGTCAGGAAAATGTTCGTACGGGTAAATAAGGCAGACGGGACGGACGAGGGTGGCAAGGGCGGATGGTGGACAGTGCAGCCCGGCGTGCCGGACGAGGGACGGCCGGGGCGCAAGGCGAAGGCGAAGCGCGCCAAGGCTGAGGCCGAGAGCGGGCCGCCCTCCGGCACGAGCACGGCGGCGGGGACGCCGGCCCCGCCTGGCGTGAAAATAGCTCCGTCACCAGCACCCAGTGTTGCGACACTGCCTGGGCCGACGCCGCGCCCGACGCCGAGCCCTGCCGTCACACGACCGTCGTTGCCTAAGCCGGAACTACACGGCCGGTATATCGCGCCGGGCCCTGCTCCGCAACCGCAACCACCCCTGCAGTCCAAGACTGCGTCGACTAAGGTCTCTCCGAACCAGAGCCAAAGCCAGCCGCAGCCTAAACGTATTGCACCCGACCAGCAGACGCCTACCCACAGTGCGAAAGCTCCTCTGAGCCAGAGCCAGAGCCAGAGCCAGAGCCAGAGCCAGACTCAGCCCCCATCCAAGGGGCAGGCGCCTAATGGCACAGCCACACACACACTATTCCCACGGGCGCCATCGACGAGTACTGCGCCAGGCGATCCATTTGTTGACGAGAAGAGTTCCTAGACACATCTTGTAAATGCACCTCCTTCTGTTACTCGGCATGCTGCCCGAGTCGCACCTGCTCTGACGCCCTTGTCTCATATACTTGCCGGTCTTGGTGAGATCTCGACGGCGGGCGCCCGATCCTCGGCTCGGACGCTGCTCGGAACCGGGTTGGCGGTAGATCATTGCAACGAGCTCTCGACAACCTGACGTCAGGAAGATCGCCTTTGCAACAGGCAAAACCTAGGTCGAACAGCTAGGACCAAGGCAAGCAATTATACAACATGATCTACAAGGCTAGGACATTATGACGAACGACCTCGCACGAACGACCTCGCACGATCCGCTATCGGACGGCAAGCGGCGCCCTCGCGACGCCGCCGCCGCGCCGCTTGGGCGCCGGCTGGCTCTGGCTCTGGCTCTGCGCCTGGCTCTCGTCGTTCTCCTTGTCGTATATCGCGCGCGTCGCGGTGCGCTCGACGATGGAGGTGCCGTCGCGGAAGCGGGTGCGGAAGAGGACGTTGGCGTTGGTGAACAGGCCCTCTTTGAGAGACACGACGATGAACTGGCTCCCCTTGAAGCGGTTGCGGAACAACTGCCCGATGTGCTGCGTGTGCTGCAGGTCGAGCGCGGCGTCGATCTCGTCGAGGATGTACATGGGCGCAGGCTTGAATTGTAGCAGTGACATGATCAGTGAGAGGGCGATGAGCGAGCGCTGGCCGCCCGAGAGCTCGGTCAGGCTCGCCTTCCACACCGGCCCCAGGCGCACCTTGACCTCGAGGCCGTCGGTCAAGTCCTGGCCCTCGGGAGGCTGCAGCTTCGCAAAGTTGCCGGGGAGGAGCTCGGCGAAGATGAGGCCAAAGTCGCCGTTCACCTTTTCCCATGTCTTGGCGAGCGCGTCGCGCTTGTAGTGGTCGAGCTCGACAATCGTTGCCTCGATCTTGACCTTGTCCTTGAGCACCGTGCTCATCATCTTGTGCAGCGCCGCTTCCTTTTTCTCGACGTTGTCAATCATGTTCATGACCTTGGTGTTAATCTTGCGGCCCATGCCCTTGTGCTGCGCCTCAAGCTCGCGGCACTGCTCGCGCGCCTGTGCCAAGTTGACGCCGTTGAAGTCGTACGGCGAGCCAGGCTTGCCGAAGAACTGCTGCTCATCCAGAATCCACGGGAACTGCTTTTCGAGATTCTCCTTGGCTGCCTCGGACGACGAACGCTCCTTCTTCGCGAGACCCAGGTCATGCTCGAGCTTCTTGAGCGAGAGCTCGGCATCGACAATCTCCTGTTTCTTCGCCTTGAGGTCGTGCTCAAGGTCGGCGACCTCGTTGTCAAAGCGTGCCAGCACCGCCCGCTCAGCCTTGAATTTGGCTTCGGCGGCCTTGTGTGCGCCCTGCTGCGCGGCGAGCTCCTTGCCCAGCTCAGCGAGCTCAGCCTTGCTCTTGGCATGCGCCGCCTCCGCCTCCTTGACCTCGGCAACGGCAGCCTCGAGGTCCGACTCGAGCTGCTGAATCTCAAGCTCGGCTGTCTGCACCTCCTTGTGGCGGACCTTGACCTGCGTCGTCTTCTTGCCAAGCTCCTTCTTCCTGTTGGCAATGTCCGCCTTGATCTCCTTGAGCTTGGAGTCCTTGTTGTTCTTGAAGTCGTCCATCTCCTTCTCGAGACGCTTGACGTCGGCGGAAGCAGCCTTCTGCTTCTCCTTAGCCTGCTCAACTACGGCCTTGAGCTCCGCCAGAGTCTTGCGTGCAGCCTCGACCTCGCTGATAATCTGATGTCAGCCAACTTCTCGAAGCGATTGCTCACCTTCGTCGCGTTACTGCCGCTGACCTGCTCCTCGAGGAGCGTGACCTCGTGAGCGCGCAAGTCGACGGCGCGCTTGTCCTTGCGCCACTGGTCGATGACCTTCTTCGCCGATGCAAGCTCGCGCGAAGCGGCGTCGAGCTCCTTCTTGTGCGCGGCAATCTGCTTTTCGATGCTGCGGAGTTCCTGGACCTTGACGAGCACCCCGGAGCCAGATGGCGCCGCACCGCCAGACAGGGTGCCGGAGGGGTCGTAGACGTCGCCCTCGAGGGTGACGGACTTGACGCCGATAGACTTGTTGAACGTCACCGCCTTGGCAGACTCCTTGTCCTTGCAGACAAACACGCTGCCAAAAACATACGCCATGGCGGCGCTGACTTCCTCGTCGCAGCCGACCAGGTCGAGCGCGAGGTTGACTTTGCCGGGCGCAAGCTTCTCGGCAGTCGCGATGGTCTGGGCGGACATGCGGAAGGCCTTGATCTTGTTTAGCGGGATGAGAGTGACACGCTTGCGGAGCTTGCCCTTGTCTAGGAGTGCCGCGCCAGTTTTTTCGTCTTCAACGACCACGTTGTACAGGCGGCCACCGGCGCAGATCTCAAGCGCAGTCGAGCATGCGTAATTGGTCTCGTCAAGATCGACGAGCGTCGCAACAAGACCCTTGACCTTGTTGCGGTCAAAGTTGGGATAGGGGTCCGAGTAGTCAAAGTCGAGCGAGGCGAGGCGCGACTTGATCGCGTCGCGCTTCTCAGAGAGATGGGCAATCTTCTGGCTGTGCTCGGCCTGGCGCTCGAGGAGGGAGCGCTCCTTGTCCTCGTCCCAGCCGCATGCGTTCACTCTGGCACGCAGCTGCTCGACCTCGGCGCGCTTGGCAGCAAGCTCCTTGATGAGGCCCTCACCCTCCCTCTCGGCCTTCTTGGCGCGTGGCTCCTTGTCCTTGATGTCGCGCTCGGCCAGCCCGATCTTGACTTTGGCCTGCTCTGCCTCGGTACCAGCGGCGGCGAGGCGAGCCTTAGCCTCGGCCAGCGCGCCCATGTATCCACCAGCTCCCTCGTCGTCCTTGGATGACGAGAGACCAGTGAGCAGGGTCTGGAGGAGCTCCTCCGTGCGTGCCAATTCCTCGGCACCGGCATCGTACGCCTTCTTCAGCTCGGCGTACGCAGCAGCGTCCTTCTCCGAGGCCGCCTTCTTAGCCTCAAGAGCCTCCTTGGTTTCTGTCACGGCGTTGTTCGCGCCCTCGACGCGCTTGGCGTCATCGGCGACCGTTGACTCCTTGATTTCAAGCTGGGTCTTGACCTTGACAAGCTCACGCTCGAGCTCGTTGACGCCGTCCGCGAGCGCCTGCATCTTGCCGCCCTTGGCCATTTCCTAAGGGTCAGAGCATACGACCCGAGAACTCACCTTGGCCCGGCGCGCCTCAATCTCCGCCATTTCCTTCTCCATGTCCTTGCACTCCTCGCCGCCACGCTTGATGTCTTCCTTGGCCGCAGCGAGGTCTCTGTGCTTCTGCTCGAGCGAGGCGCCCGACTTCTCCAGCTTGTCGACGACGAGCCGCCACTCATAGGCCTTGACGAGGCGAGTGAGGCGCTCGAGCTCGCTCGTCGCCTTCTGGTACTCGAGGTACGAGCGCTTCTCGGCGCGCAGCTTCTCAAGCTTCGGCTCAATCTCCTCGCGGAGTAGCTGCCGTCAGCTCGGGTTGTGAGGCTACGACGCACCGTAGAGATCTCCTCGACCTTCTTGTCCTTCTTGGCCATCGTCTTGACAGCCTTGCCCTTGCGCTCCTCGAACATGCGGGTGCCCGCCGCCTCCTCGACCATGCCAAGGATCTCGGCTGGCTTCATGTTGAGCACCTTGGTGATCTTGCCCTGCATGATGAGGAAGTTGGGGTTGTTGATGTTGAGCTGTACCGACTGGAAGAGATTCTGGATGGTCTGGAGCGTCGACTTGTGTCCGTTGAGGAGGTACTTGGACACATTCCCGACCGCGATCTGTGGTCAGCTCGACGTTACGGGGACGGGGAGGCGTAAACGTACTTGTCGGGTGACTGTGATCTGCGGAGTGTTCTCAAAGCCGACGGGACTCTTCGAGCGGTCCTGGTTGTTGAACACAATGGTCACCGAGGCTTTGGTAACACCAGCCTGGCCACTGGAAGGTCAGCCTTCTTCCTCGTCCGCGCACCCACCGCTTGTAGATCAGATCCATGAGGTTTCCGGCGCGGACCTGCGGCGGCGTCAGCGTATCCGTGAACTGAACACACCGATGTCATGTTAGTAATGCCGAGCACAAAGCAGATTGCGTCGAGAATGTTTGACTTGCCGGAGCCGTTGAGGCCGGTGATGGCGTTGAACGACTCATCGAAGCCTGTCGTCAGCCCGAAACGCATGCTATAGCGCACCAGAAATGGTCGTTCGTACGGGGTATGACTTGAAGCCTTCTGTCAGATCTCTCCAAACGATAGCTCACCGTCTAGGATGAGTTCTTCGATCCTCATCGTGACGAGGCCGCGAGATTGATGGTTGACGCCGACGGCAACTTGCTTTGTTGACATCAAAGCCAGGCGCGTCGTGTTGATAGTGGGGTACCGCACGTGGCGTATATACACGTCATGTATCACCCGCAAGAAATTAATCGGTCCTTCCAGACCCATGTCGCGTGGTCCGGATATCAGGGCCCACGCGCAGCACAGCGGGTGTCCAGGCACAGCGATGGTGGTTGAACAGCCGACGCGCGATTGGACGCGTCGGCGTGAGTGTTGGATCTCTTGATCTCGTTATCCTCGGCGCGCGCCGGCGCACACGGCGCCAGCGCATTCCGATCCATGATCCAGCGGGCAGTGGCCAGCGGCACAGCCTACTGCGCGCACCTGTTACCCTATCTTCCTTTCCTCGCTCTGCACTCTGCGCTCTCTGTGCGCCACACGGCCACGTCACAGTCGTCGTTGCAGTTGAGCTCGCGACACAAAATCATCCGCGTCTGTTCAAGCGACTGTGCAATTGCGCATGTGAACAGGGGCTACTAGCTACTAGCCTTGCTGACATGGCTGGAGGCTGGATACGCCCCAGGCCCCAGGAAATCGAGAGAGAAAGGTTAGAACGAGGCGCGTTATCTTGGGTAACTGGCCTGACGTGTGTCATGCACGTTTCGGGTGGTCGTCTTGAAAGGCGGCGTCAGCTCGGACAGGGGAGAATGGTGCCAAGAGTCTAAGATGACTGTGCACAGGATCGCAGGATCGCAGGAGCGCAGGATTACAAGGCGTACAGGCGTACAAGGCACCATCAATCCATCTCTGGCTTCTGCTCCATGCTCCATGCTCCATGCAGGTCGGCGCTGCGGCATTGCGCGTGCTGCGCTTCGACTACGCGTTCAAGTACAGTACATCAGCTTATCAGATCGCGCCCACCGATCATCCCCTGTGTACGTGTAAATGGCATCTGATCGTAATGCACTGTAGATCGCCAGATCGACAGATCAAAGCTGTAGCAGGTGAGCTAGCAAGCAGCACCACCCAGATGCGATGTTTCTCGCTCGCTGACTGGCAGCTGGCAGCTGGCAGCTGGCAGCATGACACAAGCTCAGACCGTCCCTGCACCGCTATCAGTGAATGCGTACGTGCGGCCATTCACTCTTGCCCCTGTGCATGTGGTCATGGCGACGTTGCTACAGGATGTTTACAGGGTTCATGCAAAGTGGCGCTCTCACTCAATATCAGCCAAGCGCGTTGCAGGGGAGGGGAGGATATGCGGCGCGTGCGGCGCGTGCGACGCATGCCAGCGTCATCGATTTTTTTTTTTTCTAATCGCGTGTGGAGACGACAGGACGCCGACGACGATGAGGCCCCCAGAACGCGGTGTGCTTCGATGAACCAATTCATTCAACCTTCCACGCACTCTGTTCGGCCTAGACACCTGAGGCCACCCTTATGTGCCCATGTCTGCGTCGTGGGAAGCCAATGACCAGTTGGCCAGGAAAGAAAGACTGGCGCGTCTGCAGTACTGCAGTGGACGACTTGACCCGTTCTCCCATCTCGATCGTGCCAGAGAGTGGACGCTGTCGCCAGCTCGCAGACATATCACTCCACTCATACACGTCAGACTCGTTACGTGGCATACAACCGGCATGTACGTCGTTGCTCTTCGGTCCCATGTACAGAAGGAGTATGAAATGCCCGTCGCTGCACCGCAGTCTCGACGCGCGGCGCCAATGTCTTACTTTTATCCCAAAAATATACCAAACATGATGTTTGGAGAGGCATAACAAATACAAGGACACTGCAGCCAGCAACTGGACCTTGGAGGCCCAGAGGCGGGCTTGAGACGGCTTTCTTTTCAAACTCACTTCTTACTCGCGACCGAGGATCAAAAGCAGTAGTTGTATAGAGCTGGCTGATCGTCCGAACAGTCGTCAATGCAGAATCCGCTTTGGACTAGAACGGTTGCCATAATCTTGAGGGGAGGCGAGGAGGCAACGAGGCAACGAGGCAACGACTAGACGAGACGAGGAAATCGAGACGTCGCTCCGTTGGAGATCTCCCGAAAAAAAAGAGAGAAACAGGAGACAGGAGGCAGCAACTGACCCAAGGTTTTGAATGGCATCCAGGCACCGCATTTCCCTCACTACCGATTTTTCCCTTATCCGTCGAGAGGCCCTGAGAGCCTGTGCTGATGTACCGGATGGGTAGGGAAGGAGGGAGCGCAGGAGGCAAGGATGAGGAGGTCGGGGCGAGAGGGGGGGGGGGGG